AGAGGATAAATTATGCCACACTTTTTCTATCTGCCTCAAAGGTGTGGAATTTTAGAAATGTAGTTTTTGGTCTGAAGCAAATATAGCAAAGTCTATATGTTTGACTCGCTCATTTTAAGAATGGACTGCTTTTCACTATTAAAAGTGGGAAACACAAATTTTTGGAAATAGATTCTTTAGTTCAAATTTGATTCTGCTAAATGCTAGGCATGTGACATACCCATAGATTGGGGTGCTAATAATAATATCTACCTCTTTGAATTACTGGAGAATTAATATGTCAAGTCCATAGAACTCTATCTGGCATAAAAGGGTTGCCTCTCTCTGTAAAATCAAAGGCCATACCTGCTTGTTCTGGGTGGAGGGTGAATGGGGAATGGGGAATGGGGAATATTTAGGATGGAAATTAGAACTTCCACAGGCACAAATGCTGGGCCTGTGCCCTACCACTGATTCATTTCCCCTACACCACATATATACTTTTTTTACACGGTCTACGGTCCTCCAGTTGTTCATCGATTTGCTCGAGCGGGCCCAGTAACGTCTCCATTGGAGACTTCGTTGTTACTGTGTTTGGCATATCGAATACGTCACGGGGAGCTTGCCAGGCTCTGCTGTGCGGGAGATACTTTTTTTATTATCCTAAAATCTACTACTTTCCGTTGAAATATTAACTAAGCTCAAAACAATTTATGATCTAAGAATTTCTCTCGAAAATTTTTTTTTGAGGAGGAGCAATTTGGTCCATAACTGCAGTGCTCAGAGCTATTTCTGGCCTTGAGGTCAGGAATCACTCCTGGCTGTGCTTGGGGGATGATGTAGTGTGCTGAGAATTAAGCCATAGTTAGCCTTGTTCAAGGTAAGAATCTTTTTATTTTTTATTTTTTAAATTTTTATTAGTGAGACACCATGAGGTACAGTTGTAGACTTACACATTTTTGTGCTTGGGTTTCAGTTATACAATGATCAAGTACCCATCCCTTTACCAGCGCCCATCCTCCACCACCACGGGTCCCGTCATCCGTCCCACCCCCATCCCCCCCATCCCACCCTGCCTCTGTGGCAGGGCATTCCCTTTTGTTCTCTCTCTCCCTTATTGGGTGTTGTGGTTTCCAAAAGAGGTACTGAGAGGCAGTCATGTTTGGTCTATAGTCTACTTTCAGCATGCTTCTCCCATCCTGGAAGGATCCTCCTAACACCCTTTATTTGGTGTTCCAAGGTAAGAATCTTAACCCCTATACTATCTCTCCAATCCCATTTATAAATTCAAAAAATAGATTTTTGGTTTTGGGGCCACACTCAATGGTGCTCGGGGCTCATTTCTTTCTCTATGCTCAGGGATCATACCTGGTGGTACTTAGGGGACCATATTCAATGCCAGAAATCAAAACAAGATGGGCCACTTACAAACCTCTTAATCCCTCTTAATACTCTCTCTGGTGTCTGTAAACAACTTTTAATATGCAACTAATAATTAGCCATATTTGTACAGAGAACCTAGAATTATTTTTCCCTGTGAGTTCTAAAGTTTCCTTTGATTTTTACATGTTCATTTGCTCATTCAATCACCAGTATTTATTGAACACTTACTGCAATGATTGGGTATTTGTAGGAAACAAATGGGAAACATTATCTGCAACCTCTATTTATATTCAAATATCAGACACAGGCAATAAACCTCAAACAGGGCATGAATGTGGAAAATTCCTACTCCCCAAATTTTATTTTCTGTTTACCATTATATTAAAAGTTACTCATTAATTGATTTTTTTTTGCTTTATGCTTTAAAGTATTTAAAAATACTAAACTTTTTACTTAACATTTTTAAAATATGGGCAATGTGGTAATATTTTATTTTAGAAATGGATATAAAATACCATCACTTATTTTCACTTGCTTTTCCCCTACTGATAGCATTAATCTATCTTATTAAAATATTTTATTATGACTCATTCTTAGAGTTGGGAAGTTCAGCTTTAGTTAGCTTATCAGAAGTTCTCAGAATGTTCATACTTAAGACTAGGAAAAGGATGCCACTGAATAGTCTTTCATTAACAATAAGTGCTGAAAAATAAGTTCCTTGTTGACTATATACAAAACACAAATTTCTAATAGTTCTTAATGACACTACTTCCTTTGTGGATTATGTAGGAAATGCCTTTGTCTGAATAATAATTTCTGGAAGGAAAGCTTTCAAAATATAATTAGAGAGAGAGAAAGAGAGAAAAGAGATTTGTAGAATACAGAGTCAGATAAACACATTTGCCTAATATAATTAAATAATATACTTCAAAGGTATTACAGTTTTCAATCATATGAAACACTCTGTACTGTTGTTTATAACCATATTGTTTTAAAAATTAAAATATCACCAATAATGGACAGTTAATTCAAGGATTAATGACAACAATTGGGCTGTGGGGACTAGGTTTTCATCGAAAAGGAAAAGAAATAACAACCCTACTGAATAACCATCAGCATAATTAGTGAAGAAATAACTTTTATTCTTGATAGAATTATGTAGACTCATAAAGGAAAAGTGAGTAATTTTCTTTTAGTTATTTCAATTTTGGTTACAAGCTTCTCTGATTTATTTTGAATTGAAAACATTGGTAAAATAAACTGAGTATGAGTGAAATGATGCATTTCTATATTCTTCGGTGTTTTCAACCTAGGTCCGTTGCATATGTGATATGTGTCTTAATGAGGAGTATAGAAAAGAGGGCTGGAGTTGTTTAAATAATAATCTCCCATACTCCATTCTTTCTGGTGATTATAGCCTAATGGCCTATAGTCATACAATTTTACCTCCTATCAGAATCAGAATCCTTTTTTTTTTTTTTTTTTTTTTGGTTTTTGGGTCACACCCGGAGATGCAAAGTGGTTACTCCTGGCTCATGCACTCAGGAATTACTCCTGGCGGTGCTCGGGGGACCATATGGGATGCTGGGAATTGAACCAGGTAGGTCTTGTGCAAGGCAAACGCCCAACCGCTGTCATATTGCTCCAGCTCCCAGAATCCATCTTTTAAGGGACTATAAATATATTGTTCTACAAAGACTGACTAGAGTTATATTTTCATTTATTTATTTATTTATTTATTTATGCTTTTTGGGTCACACCTGGCATTGCACAGGGGTTACTCCTGGCTCTGCACTCAGGAATTGCCCCTGGCGGTGCTCAGGGGACCATATGGGATGCAGGGAATGGAACCTGTGTCGGCCGCGTGCAAGGCAAATGCCCAACCCGCTGTGCTATCGCTCCAGGCCCTGATAAGAGTTTTAGAAGTACCATTTCATGTATTTTTTGTTTGTGTCTTGGGTCACACCAGGGGATGCTCACTGCTTACTCTTGGCTCTGTGCTCAGGGAATCCCCTTGTCAGTGCTCAGAGGGCAATTTGTGGTGTCAGGATAGAATCAGGGTCAGTGGAATGCAAGGCAAGGGCTATATTTTGCTCCTAAGCGTCAGTTAATTTTGTGTAACTCGGCTTTTTTAAGAGTTGGAGCACATGCTTTGCAGTTAGGAGCACTGGGTTCCATCTGATCCCTCGTACCACCTGGTCACTGAGTATCTCCTCTAGAAGCTTGAGTGGAGGATTTCCTTGAACTGAATGGATCTACTTAGGACCAATTTTATTTTATTTTTATTTATTTTGTTTTTTGGGGTCACACCCGGCGATGCACAGGGTTACTCCTGGCTCTGCACTCAGGAGTTATTCCTGGCGGTGTTCAGGGGACCATATAGGATGCTTGCAATCGAACCCAGGTCGGCCGAGTGCAAGGCAAACGCCCTACCAGCTGTGCCATCTCTCCAGCCCCTAGGACCAATTTTAAAGATGGTGTTGATGAGATTTTTGTTAGGTATGTTAACCCCTACACATGCACAAGCACAAGCATGAGTGTGTGTGTGTATGTGTGTGTGTGTGTGTGTATGTGCGTGTGTGCGTGTTTTCCTTTTCGTTTTATCTGTGCATTTTCTCTCTCAGCGCTTCTCAGTTTCACTTATTATTAAAATTTCACATATGTATTAAGTGGACATGAAAGAGTTGGTTACACAGTTCCTCCCCGTCTTAAGCTTTAAGGAGCCGATTTTACAACACAGACTATTTTCAGACGTGTAACGAAGCAAATAAAATATGTTGAGACATCCTTCCTGCTGGAGTTCAGGGTGAAAGCAGCCCTTGTCTGGTTTGGACAGTAGAGGGTTAATGATGAGGCAAGGCTGTCTGCAGAGATGAGCGATCTCCATTTCCTACTTTGAATGAATGACCTGCTTGCCAGGGCTAAGGTTTTTCTTGTTCATTTTATTCCTCTCGAAAACATAATTTTAAAGCTACCTCCTTATGGTTATAGTATTTTAAGAGCATTTAAAAAGTCTATAATAAGCTGGACAAGCCTAATAGAACTGCTTTAGTCATCAGCCTGTGACTGTAACACATCAGTGTTAAAAAAAAAATCCCGGAAGAAGTGGTCTCTCACTGAGAATTTCCCTGATAATTGTGATACACCTTTAAAAGCCTTTACCATTTCTCACAGTTCTCTGAGAAAGTCTAATTGAGGAGAATATTGCATTAGTGAATTGCTCTGCCCAAGACAAGTGCTGCTGGATTTTTTTTTCCTTCCAGATTTTAAAACCTAAGACCCCAATCACAGTCTGTAGTTAAGAGCTTCAAGTAAAAATTACCTCTGTAATGTGCAGAAGTCCTTAAAAGGGACTGCAGGTTTTCCCGCAATCTTTCACTGGGGGAGCAGAACTGTATCCACTGATAACCCAGCTGCCGAGGACCCGAGTAAAGCCGACTCCAAACTTCTCAGCTGTTGACAGGCTTGACTTGCTGAGAACACTGGTTAAATATAGCACGCGCGAGCTCAGTTCCTCAGCAAAGTCATTGCTCAGTCAGTGTTGTGAAGGGAGCCGAAGATGAGAGAAACCTAATCTCAGAACCCAACAACACCTAGCAACAGTTGAAAAAACTTTAAAACAAAAAAGTCTGGGCGGGAGATAGACGACAGCCTCCAATTTCTGCTGATCAGGATTTCAGGGAGAAGAAGCTGCTTTTCCCCCCTTCTCTTCTAACTCAGTTTCCTGCATGACTTCAGCTATTGGCTAGTCCTAGGAAAGAAAGTGGGAAAAGCTTTTTCCTGTGTATTCTTTTGGGCTGGATAGTTTTCCAGGACTCCAGTCTCTCTTGGGCTGTGTGACAAGCCACTGGGTTCTTCAAAGGATAAGCTACTTCCATAAAGGACATACCCTTGGTCAAACGGGCTGCCGGCAGGTAAGACCAAAATAAATAGCTACTTATTCGCTTACAGTTCTACTCCCACCAGAAAAGAGTTTTCTCTGACTCTGTCTGTTTCCTTTGATGTTTGTTTTTAAGCTCTGTTATCTTAGAACACATACGGGGTGGCGACAGTAATCAGTGTGAATTATTTTTTGAAAAAATTAGACACATCATCTTTTCTCAGTATTATCCTGAATCCTTTTTCAAGCACGATTGTTGCTATGTTTTAATATCCACTATTAAATATTTCTTTATTGTTTTTATTCTCCTTTGGCAGGTAACAGCAGTATGACACAGAACAATTTTATAGCTCATTTGACAGTTAGGGTGACTGTTCAGTGAAGGGAATATTCTCCCTAGAAGCAAAATAACTTTCCTTTATTGAAGCTAGCTTCGCAACTTGTGTGGTAAATCAGAGGAAAGTCCCACATGGTGTTTGTGTTGCTGGACTTTTGACTTGCCGCTTTTCGAGTTTCCTTTTGCCTAATTCTCTGATTACTCTAGTACACCTTGTGCTGCTTCTGATCTCATTACATTACAGTTACTCCAAATGCTTCTAACTAGACACAAAATATACCTGGTGTTAAGTTACTGCTTTTGTACTTGTTGAATATAAACTATTCAGGAGAATGTCATTTTTGTGTCCTTTTAAAAATAAACGGTGTCATTACTTGTGCAGACATAGAGGAGATTTAGACTTTGAAAATTAAAGTAGAATTTATAATAAAATTTATTTTGTTGCATGTATGAGTATTTACTATCGTGAGAAAGAAGTTCTCCTTTTATTTGTTAGTATTCTGTCTACCTTTCTATGAATTGCAGTGTAAGTTTACAAGACTTGCTTAGCGTGATCTAGTTCACACTGAAGCTAACAAAAGTTATGGCTTTCTATAGATATTGTGATTATTTCTGAAACCTGTGGTCTGTAGTTAGGTTGGATTAGCATAGAAAGATTATTCTTTTAAATGAACATGATAATTTCAATAAATATTCTAATCTTAGTATTACATCAAAAAATGATGCAGATGCTCTTTTTAAAAGAAATTAAGTCTATGATGTCAACTTAAAGAGTTTGCCCAAGACCAGTTTTGAACAAATTATTGACAAATAAGAACGTGCCAAACTTTTTCAGTAAATATTTCTATTTTAATAGAAACGAATTTAAACTTATATAGGTATTGCGTTCGTAATTTTGATTATATGATTAGTTTACTAAGTATATAACATTAATCCTATTGGCAAGTATACTTTGTATACTTCAGTTTACTTGGTGTCAAAGTAGGAAACTCCTGGTGCTTTGGTAAATACAACTTATCTTTGTAGTAAAAGAATTTAAAAAAAACTTGGAACTAAGTGTTTTACTTTAAAAAAAAATTTAATCACAGGAAGGGTCACATTATTGGCTTACGACTGTATGTGTAAGGCCAAAACCTAACATTAGTTCTAGACATTTTTTGTGTCTTTTGAAGTCAGCAGAACAATGTGCAGATAACTGAGTACAGCATTTGGCCCTGAGTGGAAAGTCTGATAAATTGAATGCTTGCTTATTGTCTTCATGGCTGTACATTTAAAGTAAAGAATATCTCAGGTTAGGCTTTGTGCTCTATTTATAAACAATTACGCTATTATGAGCGAAAGACTATGGTCTCCTATATACCTACATTTAAATTTTCGTGTTATTTTGGAATCTTTCTTATTTACCACAATAGTTGTTAGATTTCATTGCCATATCTCTTACCACAATAAAGTCTGTTCTTTTCACCTCCTGGATTAAACAACACCTTTTTCCTGCTCCCCCTTGCCGTCCAAGTCATCTTGCCTGTGTCTATGGGTGAATTTTACTGAAGCATTGTTAAACTTGTTTCTCTGCTCTTTGGGTATCTTCTGGGACTCCTAGTAGCTGCCGAACACCTAGTCTGGTTTTTTTGAAAACCTTCTATCATCTGGCACATACCTAACTTTTCCAGTCTTCGCTCTCACTAATCAACAAGTGTCCCGATGCTTCACATATTTCAGATCTGGGGCCATTTCCCAAACATATACACAGTAAATATTGGCCTGTTTCGTCCTGCCTGCTTCCCCCACCAGGGAAGAACCAGACCAGGCAGACCAGAGTGTTCCACTTTGACAACGATTTCTAAGACCAAATTTGTTTAGAATTAGGGAACATTTAAGCAGGGTTTGTATTTGTAACCAGAATATTTTTAAAGGGAATAGGTACAAATCTTCGTTTTAAACACTTAATTTTGAAGTTTTTCAGCCCTCTGGATATTGGTAATATTCTGCTAATATTTGTCACCAAATTTCTGTTAATGAGTTTGTAGAAAGGTACAATTCCAAGTGAGTTAAGAGTTAGAATTACGCTTTCTTAATGTCGTTAATAGACATTTTAAAGCAGAATTTAAAAAGTCTTATCTTTCCCTTGTTGTTGTTGTTGTTGTTTTCTTGCATTACCAGAAGTCGCACACTAAGATTTGAGGTGCTTGAACATGTGGTGTGTTGTGCCAGATATCACACACATTATGGCAGCATCAGGCATGCCAAATGCCTCTGGGATGGTACTATATGCCTGTGGGGTGTTGCTAGGGATTCAATTTTCAGCTTCATGTTTGCAGGCAGGTACTCTGCCATTGAACTATTTTCTGGTCGCCCAATTATTATTTATTTATTTAAATTTTTTAGTGAAACACCATGAAGTACGGTTGTAGATTTACAAATTTTTGTGCTTGGGTTTCAGTTATACAATGATCAAATACCCATCCCTCCACCAGTGCCCATTTCCCACCACCACGGATCCCAGTATCCCTCCCACCAACCATCCCCCCATCCCATCCTGCCTCTGTGGCAGGGCATTCCCTTTTGTTCTCTCTCTCCTATTGGATGTTGTGGTTTGCAAAAGAGGCAATGGGTGACAATCATGTTCGGTCTATAGTCTACTTTCAGCATGCTTCTCCCATCCTGGGAGGATCTTCCCAACACCCTTTATTTGGTGTTCCCTTCTCTATCTGAGCTCCCTTTTCCCCTCCAATTATTTTTTTGATCTAAAAAGTTTATCAAGAGAAGTCTCCACAGCTTTACTATGCACAGAAAATCACAAGTAATTATGAATATACTCATATACCTAAATATGGGGAAAATATGACTCTCAAGAGTTAAGTGGTTTGTATAAAGACTGTATATATACATGCATATCTTGTGATGTCTTAGACCTTTAAACACTATATAACTCCATATGCTTATCATCTTTTGGTGCCAGATTATATTATTAGTTATATATATTTTATTAAAGCATGGTTCTTTTTATTTATGAGTCCTGGATTAATACATGGCCTTGAACATTCAAATATTACATTCAATTTTTTTCTTCTAGATACTTAAAAAAGTGACATTTCTTATTCTTAAGTTTTTGGCTCGAGCGGGACCAGTAACGTCTCCATTGGAGACTTTGTTGTTACTGTGTCTGGCATATCGAATACTCTCGGTAGCTTGCCGGGCTCTCCGAGAGGGGCGGAGGAATCGAACTCGGGTCGGCCATGTTGGCCGCTTGTAAGGTGAACGCCCTACCCGCTGTGCTATCGGCAGGGGGAGGAGAGCCACATCCAGTGTTGTTCAGGGCTTACACCTGGCTCAGGGATCACTCCTGGTAAGACTTGGAGGACCATATTGGGTGTCAAGGACTGAGCCCGGGTCCCTGTGTGCAAGGCAAATAAATGCCTTACCGACCAAACTATCTCTCCATCCCCTTCATATTTTTCATTCCTCATGAAAATTTACTGTGTGATATAAAGCACAAATGATGATTTTTGAAGCAATTTTTTTTCTTTGCATTCAGCATTCATCAAATGAAAAACTTTGTTTTTGTATTATAAAATGGTGGAAAAGATTAAATTACTATCCTAATAACTGCTTAGCCAAAAGGTCTATGAGATTTTTCCATTGAAAATTTATATGAAAATTTCAATATATTCATTTAGTAATGATTATAGTTTTTACTTTTTTTTTTTGTTGTTTTGTTTTGGCGCTCTCTAGTCAGAAATCACTCTTGGTGGTGGTTGGGTGTAAAATCTTATCACACCGAAGGTTGTGTGTGTTCGTGGGCTCACTGGATGGCACTGTCTCACCTCCCGCGTTCAGTGCTCTTGAGCCACTGTGTGTGGCCTGGATCGGAACGGCTGTTGGCCAAGGGCAGATGGAAGAAGAAACGAGGGGGACAGGCCGGTCGATATCAATAGTAGTTTATTCCAATCCTCTTCACTCCTGTCTTTCTCTGCCTCCTTCTCTCCTGGGCCCCAAATCTGGAACCTCTCTCCTTCTGGCTCTGACTCTGGATTTCTGGAGCCCGAGCTCTCTCATTTCTGACCCCTTTTCCGAGCTTACGTCTTAGTTTATATAGCAGTCACATAAGGCGGTGACATAAAGGTGGGTTGAATATTGACAAATCAACAATGAGAGGTAAAACCACTCCTCCAGGAGATTAACTCAAAGACAAAAATCTCATCTAAAGAGATTACTCCAGATTACTAGGAGATCTGCTCAAGGGTGGGATCCTAACAAGGGTGTGTTCTTTCCTCAGCTAGTAATCTACTTAAATAGTTGTAGTAAATCTACTTCTAATATTTCTAGCAATGTCATTCTGTGTGAGCACAGTAAGAGACATAAACATCTCATTATACATTCCGCAGAGCTCAGGCCAGGTTAGTCTTCCTAGCCCTAACAAGGTCCTAGTCTCGTTGTTACTTACTTTGGACCATGACAACATTTGTCCATGATCATGCCCTCAATTTATAGTTGAGTATTGTGGCGCTTTGGCCTGGCCCATTTTGATGCCAGGGTAGTTCACAGCTTGCCCTGGGTCCATTCAGTCCATCGTCAGGACCCTGCTTTTGAGGTGCTAGGAACTAAGGGCAACTGAGTCAAGAAATCAGATGCCCAGGAGTAAATATTCAGAGTCAATCAACTCCCAAGTTACAAAGCATAACATTAACTGTCTTCCT